TTTAACAGTAGTGAAAAGGGAGCAACTTATAAAAAATTATAGTTGTTCATATATAATATATATAATTTATAATTTTTGAAAGAGAAGCAGAATAAGACAAGACAAATATGAAAGAGATACAAATTAAACTCATTTTTCATATACAGTAGGTTTACTTTACATATTTATTTAACATCTTTTATTGGTTAACATTAATGACACGGATAGGTACTTAATTAGGAATGCTGTCCCTTTAAGACGGAAGGCATGCATGTAATACTGGCACACGTTCAGTTTTCACCATAGACTGTAAAAAAAACATGGATATAGTGTCCGTGACGTCACTCGTAGGGTTCAGAAGAGCATTTTTGAAGCCTAAAGTGAGCAGAGCCGACCGCCGCCATCTTGGCAGCGCGTCACACCCGGATAATCGAAAATGGGCAAAAAGGTGGGACGTGAGTGAAGCTGAGGTGCTAGTTGCTGAAACCACGCCCGTCTATGGTGACAGCAGTGCTGCCGTGCAAAGACAAAACACCATAACTTCGTTTTTGGTCGAAATTAGTTATTGATAATTTTGGGACATATATGACCTCCTTTATCATGTGTATAAGCATCTTGGAGAAAAGCCCAGGAGAAACCATGGCAGAACACAGTATCATCAGTTACCGCTCTTTGACTTTGTTTTAGATCGCTCAAATTAAGTTATGGTGCTCTGCATTTGTTTAGCCGTTCGTCAATATTACTGTGCCAGCCTGGAGTTATACGGTATTCTGCCTTTGTTTTACTGTACATTAATGCCATGACATGCCATGACAGCGTATCACATAAAATCAGCTACTGTTCGCAATTAAGTCAGTTTCCTACCTTTTCTTGTAACTTGATAAAAAACATTGCAGTGAACGTCATCGGAGATGTTTAATTCACAATCATTCTGAGCATTATTCCTGCTGGCGTTCACATCAATCCACAAGTCGTTCTTAGGTTAAGCTATTCAATTCGATGTAAAAACAATAGGCTAAGTAGTGTCTTGCATCCTTTAATGTTAGCGAACATTGCAAATAAATTGGTTGCAAAACGTTATCCACTGACGTTTAACTTTTTGTCTGGTTGTTATGGTCAGAAAAACAATTTAATTACGTTACTATATGTTGTAGCCTAGCCAATGATCACTAGATTTTATATAGATGTTACTATAATTCTGTAAATGGTGATCAGCACCCAAATATTGTATATAATGTGGAAGCTACTGCCTTTTGCCTTGGCGTGACATCTCAATTTTTGCAGACAGTGCAAAGGCAGAGTACCTACAATAACTTCAAAATAGCGGTAAAAATCAAGTTTGAGATAATTTTCATTAAAACATCTAATTGCCAGATTTCCAGTGTCCTACCCAAAATTATTTTTTTCTGGAAAAATAAAAACCTTTTAAAGGGGTCATATGATGCGATTTCAATTTTTCCTTTCTCTTTGGAGTGTTACAAGCTCTTGGTGCATAAAGAAGATCTGTAAAGTTGCAACCCCCTAACCCTAACCCTAACCCTAACCCTAACCCTAACCCTAACCCCTAACCCTAACCCTAACCCTAACCCTACCCCTAACCCTAACCCCTAACCCTAACCCTAATTCCTGCTGGCGTTCACATCAATCCACAAGTCGTTCTTAGGTTAAGCTATTCAATTCGATGTAAAAACAATAGGCTAAGTAGTGTCTTGCATCCTTTAATGTTAGCGAACATTGCAAATAAATTGGTTGCAAAACGTTATCCACTGACGTTTAACTTTTTGTCTGGTTGTTATGGTCAGAAAAACAATTTAATTACGTTACTATATGTTGTAGCCTAGCCAATGATCACTAGATTTTATATAGATGTTACTATAATGATTCTGAAATGGTGATCAGCACCCAAATATTGTATATAATGTGGAAACTACTGCCTTTTGCCTTGGCGTGACATCTCACTTTTTGCAGACAGTGCAAAGGCAGAGTACCTACAATAACTTCAAAATAGCGGTAAAAATCAAGTTTGAGATAATTTTCATTAAAACATCTAATTGCCAGATTTCCAGTGTCCTACCCAAAATTATTTTTTTCTGGAAAAATAAAAACCTTTTAAAGGGGTCATATGATGCGATTTCAATTTTTCCTTTCTCTTTGGAGTGTTACAAGCTCTTGGTGCATAAAGAAGATCTGTAAAGTTGCAACCCCCTAACCCTAACCCTAACCCTAACCCTAACCCTAACCCTAACCCCTAACCCTAACCCTAACCCTAAAGTCTCAAATCCAAAGAGATATTCTTTATAAAAGTTAAGAGTCAGCCACACCTACCTAAAACGGATTGTTCTAACAGGCCCCCACATATCTACCTCATTATGTGGGAAGATTTGCATAACGCCGCCCAAATGTTCACGCAAAGAAAGAAGGCGTAACTTCCAGAACAGTTTAACCCAAATATCCAGATGTGTGCACCACATTTTATGGAGGACTGTTTACTGATCCTCGGAGAGTAACGTTAGACTAAAATGCCGGCAATTCTGACTCACGTAAGTACATTTAATTTGAAGGATTTTCCACTGATGATTCAAATGCGAGTTTTGGGCAGTGTGGAGTAGCACTTGTTTGTCATTTCTCCGATCATAAATGCAGAAAGGGTTTTATGTTTATGCGGCGCGATGCAATGCAACGCGTAAAAAGACAGTATAAGTCATTATAATCAGTAATTATGTCCCCACTGGATGCAAAAAATGCCTCGTTTGTAATGGGTCTTAATGTTTTTGTCTCGTCGCTCCGGCCAGGACACAGCATCAACAGTATGTGAGGGGTGTAACATTTCCGTCTCACACTTGAGGTATTCGGCCAATCGCAATGCACTGGATAGCTGGCCAATCACAGCACACCTCGCTTTTTCAGACAGATGAGCTTTGTAAAAATCGACGCGTTTCAAAAAGGCGGGGCATAGAGGAGAAACAGTATGTGGAAAATAATGTTTTTTTTTACTTTAAACCGCATAAACACATTTCCTTACCCCAAATACACAAAATAATGTTCTTTTTAGCAGCATCATATTGACCCTTTTAAGCCATTTTTCTAAGTTTCACAGTCTAGCGAGTTTCACACTCTGGAGCAGAGCGGCAGTCCACCTGTCTCTCAAGTGGCCACGCCCTTAATTATGCAGAACTTTAAGGCTTAATATAATTTAAAACAGATGAGTTATAAAAAAATTTCCCCCCTCACAGTTGTCATGAAGGGCAAAATTACCTATATAGACCAAAAGCACTTTTTGTACCAGGCTGTAAACATATTTTTTTCTGCTGTAAAGTTGGGCATTTTAACATGGGGAGTCTATCGGACTGACTCCCTTTTGGAGCCAGCCTCTAGCGGCCAGTTGACGAATTGCAGTTTTAGTCACTTCCGTGTTGGCTTCAAGCGAGAGACCGGGAGGTTGCCGCTTGGTTTTCAACCACCTGTTTATGTTCACTTAATCCATAACCGACTGTATTTACGTGAGATACTCTACACGATAGACATTTGGACTGCTGTGTGTGTATTTGAGCACTGAGAACTGATTGCGCGCTCTATATGAGAACTGAAGAAGTGGAGCGTGTGCCAGAGAGAGCACTTCTATCAGCGCGATTCCGCCTATCCCACCTTCACTAACTTTAAGTTATTTTAAGTTATAATCGACAATGAATTGTTACTCCCGGGAAAAAACGGGACATCTGGTCACCTTATCCCTACCCCTTCGGGTGCTGAGGCCATTGTTTCAGATCGCTAGTTCGCATTTTGGTAGCCTATCCATCCACTGCGGCTGCCATACTAAGACTCGATATGCAAACTAGGGCTGGGTAAAAAAATATCGATATCTCGATTTTAATCGATTCTTATTTTTACATAACGATATTGATTCTTAAATCCCAAGAATCGATTAGTCTAGCCTGTGTTCAGTTAATGGATGGAACATTGAAGGGCACTTCCCATCCAATATATCGCAATAAGCATTGTGTTTGGTACTTTTAATATGAGACAAAGTCTCAGATTTCAAATTCTGTCCATTGTATTGCAGTATTCAAACAATAAATGCCGTTTTGGTGCTGTTTAATCTAGAGTGACAGATCGCTGTAGCACCTCAGTTCAACAAACGCGGCAGCGCGTAGCGCACGTGAACTGATCATCTCCTCCATATTAATACCAGTTTCAGCACAAAATAAACATGACTAAACATCCGGAGGTAAGCTAAAAGAAAGAGTATAACTTTACAATCCGTATCCTGTCTCATGTAATCGCTCAAATAGTGTTTCAGCCACGCAAAGACATCAATATGTCTTGTAAACAATGTCACGTTTACAAATGTGTGGTCACATCTACCACAGAAAACAACATATTCGGTGACCAAGAACTCATTAGTCAGCTAGAAAAATAAAGAGAGGGGGATGTTGATAAATATGTGCACCATATAACATTTTCATTATAATTTTTACTGTTCTTCAATGTTTAATTTATGTTTGAATAAATCCATCAAGTTTTATGATTTAAGCCACCATTTAAATGTTTATAGCCTATTTAAAAAATGAATTGAAGTAGAAATATTATGTAATTGTAACTTTATTATTTTAAAAACTTAATTAAGTGTAATTTTAGCAGTTGTGTAGCCTACAAATTCAATATTATAGTAATGTAGCTAGTACCAACTGACTCTCATGTATATTTTACTGCATTAGTTGAGAGCTTTTTTTTTTCTTGAGAAAATTTGGCATGTAGCCTACTGTACCTGATATATATCCAAAATAATCTATATTGAATCGAATCGAATCGTGAAATGTGTGTCAAAACCTAGGGTGCAGGGTGGCCAAAGAGGTGGTCATATATGCATCTATTTTTTTGACGTAATAATCACAGAATTTGAATTTTAGCTAGTGTGATTTCATGTTTGTTTTAATGTTTAATCCTACAAATGTAAACCACCTGGCAATTTCCCCTCAAAAGCACAATAAAGCATGCATTTATTTTATGGAACAACCCATTACCTGCTTGACTGCTGGGCTTGGCCCTTCCCTTGGGGATTGTTGGCAGCAGAAGATCTATGGCCTGGGTTGGGGTGGGCACCTTCTGGTTCCTGTCTAACAGGGGCTTGACATCTTCAGAGGCTCCCAGTACTAATGCCGGCTCTTTCTTATCAGCTAGAAGGTTCCCTGCTGCTCGTGCGGCCACCTCCTTTAGCCGAGCTGCTGAGGAGGTCATGGAAACCAGAGAGAGAAAGGAGCCAGCTGAGGGTTGATGCTCAGATGAGCCCACCTGCTGCTGACTTCTTTCAGACACTTTCTTTGAGAGGGCAGCAAGCGTGGAGCTGGCTGACTGCGGACTGAAGGGTGAAGCGAACGGTTCAAAGCGCACTGCGTCATCAGAGCGAGTGCCTAGGGCTGCCATTGAGGAGGAGGTGACTGAAGAGGATGATGAGGAGGAAGAGGAGGATGAAGACGCCGAGGTGGAGGAGGCCACCGCACTCTTGTCTTGGAGCACAGCGTTGGCGGCTGCCTTTAACTTCTGGATAGCTGAGTCTGGTGATAGGCTGCTGCCACTGGGTGCTGAGCAACTAGTTGACGGCCATTTATCTGCAACACCTACCCATACGAAGCCACTGCTGCCTGAGTTAGGGCCATTGCTGGGGCCATATGGGTCACAGGGCTCCTGCTTGACAGTTGCTACAGATGCAGGTGATGCAGAGTTCGAGTTGCCACTGTTGTTGCTGCTGCTGTTAGCCAACCTCCTCGCCAGGGCACTCAGCTGCTGTGCATGATGTGAAGATGGAGATAGTACCAAGCTGACCGGGGGCGACTCTGGTCCTCTTCCCGTTCCATGCCCACTCAGGTCGCCTCCCTCCAGCTTCAGTGAGCCATCCTCCAGGAGACGCCGCAGGTTGCTGCTGAGGGGCTTGCCCAGGGCCTGGCTGGAGTCTCCATAAAGAGAGGACACCTCCGAGGAAAGCATGTCCTGGGTCGAGAGGATCACACTGTCCAGTCCCAGCAGCTCCAGGGAAGCCCGCTGAACTGGTGTCGGGCAGCCCAGGGAGCTCTCGGCTGAGGTGTCGTGGTCCGGTCGGGGAACATCGTCCGGGGAAACCCGCAGCTCATCTTGCACATCACCGTAGGACGATTCAGAGGGGCTGTCTGAGGTATTCCCAAACCAGCTGTCCTCCTCTACTGAGCCCCCCTCTGGCCCTCCATCCTCTACCGTGTCCACATCTGTGAAATAGGAAAAAAACATGATTCATTCAAATGCTTTTCCAGCAAGACAACTGACAATACTTCATTTTCATTTGTTGTATTCTATAAAACGAGCATCTTATTAAATATATATATGTAATGGCATGATTATCAATAAATGCTGGAGGAAAAAATCTGTTAGGGCAAAATGCTGACAGCATTGTCCTTATAGCCACTGATTGACCTTTTCCAAGTGACTTTTCTCATTAGGACTAAAATGGATGGTTTGAAAAAAAAAATGTTCTAAAAAGATGAGTGATATAATTCAATTTAGAGTTGCCCTGGTGAGTGCCCTGATGACGCATACCTCATAACGCACAGTGGAATAACTTGCCTTTTATTCGTTTTTCAACCATGTTTTTTTTCCAAGGGTCTAAAAGAGTGTAGTAAAAGGGTTACCATGGTGACAGGCCCTTCCGGGAGGCTAGACAGCAAAGATTAGGGTAATGGAGGTTACACAACTGGATTAATATTCATGATCTTGCCGATACCACAAGGGAGCCAATAAGGATAGGGTTAAGGTCACCAAGGGTCATTAATATACACTTCATGTATCAATATTCATAAGCAAAACATTACAGCTTGCCAGACAAGGGCGAACAAAGAATGTGAATATTCCTGATACATATTAACAATTCTTCCACACGAGCATGTCAGAAAACACCAAGCCTAGATGAGGGAGGATGTCAAAACTTATCAAGTGAGGGTTTTTTCTGTATGTTCACTTGACCAAATTAAATCCTCACACCTCGGTGAGAGTATAAGAGAACAAGACCTAGAGACAGCAGGAAAAAAGGCTGGGGACTTGTGACACCGGAATATGATCTGTAAGAAAATTCATTTGAGCATCTTTTCTTCGCCTTTTGCTCACACACATAAAGGCTGGTCTCACCTTGCTGACCCCAACATAAGCCTCGCGAGTAAGCCCTCTGTTTACAGGGAAAAGGAAAAGCCGTTGCCTGGCAACGGTATCCCGTCAACCCGTAGGGATCATTACAGTCAGCACACATCTGGCCAGCACTGCTTACTTTGGTCCAAAGGGGTGGCAACTGCCACGACCCCATGCGACCATGCACCATGATACTGACAATGCAGCAGAGCATGCTTCTTAACTTGAAAAATAAAAGAAAATAAGATATAAACCCGATACACACACATGCCTTGATGTGAATGCGATTATGTGCAAGCGTCCTCCTGACTTTCCGTACCTCATCGTTAAAGGTTCGAGCGTTTGATGCACATCACCAGTGCGTTTCACTGACCGAGCTCTCGGTCACCTGAGCAAAACAGTGAAGTATGTGAGGCATGACCCATTTCTATGTGACACCAGGGAGGACGGGCACTAATGGCCATAATGTTGTTAGTGAGAAATGGCTAGATTGCTGACCAGAGGTCTCTGAGGCAATGGTAGAAACTCGGACTGAACCCTGCTCTCGCCACGCTAGGTTAAGCTAGGTTGTGCTACGCCACACTCTTGTTCCTAGCTGCACCAGAGAGGCAGACACAGGCAAGCCACTCCGTGGGCGGCCTGACATTTCCCAAGGTCACGGCTCGGGCCCTAGTTCCGCATGGCTTTGTCTGAAACAACCCCCTGCCTCTAAAACGCACACACGCACATACACTCTCGTATGTGGCTTGAAAAATGGGAACAAAACCCTGGTAGTTAGCTGAAATGGCAACAATGCTATCGCATAGCAACAAGCTTGACAGTTTGGGACAAGGGACAAGATACTGGCCGTCTGCCTTTGAGAGGTTCGTTTAATGGCATAATGGTGAGCATGACTTTGTGTGGCCAGAAAAACAGCTGCGAGAGGCACTGTGGTCCAGATCTGTTATCAGTCACTCACACTGAGACTTGGTGCTCGTATCTCTTGAGGATAAACTGAGCTTATGATTGTGTCTGCTGTGGACATGACCCTACAACCCTACAACCACAAGCGCTAAATGCAAATCATAACCTCAACAAAATATAAAAAGAAAGAAGAGTGTTACATTCAAGCTCTGAAATTAACTTTTTAGCCTACCAGACAGATTTCTCACAGCCAATTTAGTAAAAAAAACAAACAAGTGATATTACAAATTAATGATTATGTTCTCTAGAGTTTAAAATAGAAATGTTTTTAAAAAGAAAGGTTAAGATAAACATGTTTATGTTATACTGTAATCTGCATAATAGAAAGTCAAATGCCCTTTACAAAAAAAGGTAAAACAACGATGTTAAACGATTTTGAAGTTGGAGGAGAAAATGAGATGGAGGACATTTTTATTCTGGAAATCTTTTAACAGGAATGTTATAGAAATCCATTCAAATTCCCTCTTTTGGACATAATAATTTTTATGTAAATATAAGGGACACAATTTCCTGTATACATTTGTCGTCTAAAAAGTATTTTATGAAAATGTATATTTAAAATTATTGCGCTTATTTCTCTGATGTGCTCCGTCTAATTGACAAACATGTACGTGTGTATTTGCTCAGTAAAGTCCAAATTTGTGTACTGTCAGAGTATATACTGAACTGGATAAAATACTTCTTGACTGTTCAAAAAAAAGTATGTTGTATAAGTATGCATGTGTGTAAAATACAGTCCAGACATTACACTACCATGATGTGATTTTTTTTTCAGCAAGGATGTATTTACATTTTTAAGAAATACACGTTTAAGACTTCTGCATTTTTGCAAAAATATATATATTTTTTCAAATAAATGCTGTTCTTTTGGACTTTCAATTCATAAAAAGAATCCTGAACAAAAATGTATATGGTTTCCACAAAAATATTAAGCAGCACAACTGCTTTTAACATTGGTAATAATAAGAAATGTTTCTTGAGCAGCAAAATCAGCATATTAGAATGATTTCTGAAGTATCATGTGACACTGTGAAGACTGGAGTAATGGTGCTGAAAATTCAGCTCTGCCATCATAAGAATACATTTCTATTTTAATATGCAAAGTTATTTTAAAATTTTAACAATATTACTGTATATCTTGTACTGTAATACTGTATTTTTGATCAAATAAATGCAAGCTTGATGAGTGAAATCGTACCGACTTGACCGGTAAACATGAGTGTGAATAAACAATGACCAAATGTTCATTTTTGAGTGAACCATCCTTATGTAGAAATCTGTATTTTTACCATATTGCTTTACAGAGAATTGTGCATGGAATATTTGTTCTTTGTATTACAATTAGACTTGGAAAACATCTTAAGGACCTCGTTAATTCTGTTTTGTTCTTTGCCACAGTACATGGATCTAGTGTAATTGTGGCCTATACTTCTCGGGATTCATTTGAACAACAGCCTTTGGCAGCTATACAGTTAATGCCACAACATCTCAGCTGTGAGATGCAATAAGCTAAAAGGCCGAGGAGGAGGCTGGGAGCATTCTCTATTAGGGCCAGCAGCCACATGACTTGCATATGGTTGCCTACCAATACACTGAGGCTATTCTGTGACTCAGTCGGGCATAAAAATCGGCCTGCCTGACCCAGGGGTCGCAGAAAGGGCACAGAAAGGCTGTGCTGGGTGAGAGGGAGGCTGCTTCAGCAGAGTGAAGGCGAGAGGGAGAGGCCATTAGTCGATTAAGCTGGGGTGGAGCCATCAATATTCCACTGATGCCAATGAAAAGACACACTCGCGCAGTCTCGCATGAGAGGCTCGGGTCGAATAGCTTTAACTCTATCAGAGATATTGCAGTGCCTCACAGTGAGGCACTGCTATCGAATGTTACAGGCTAACTAACCACCACTTTGGCATCTATACTTTCCCAGCATTCTCTGTGGATTGCAGAAGCAAGTGCCGGTGGCGTTCGAGGGGTGGGGGGCTGGGTTTTGGCGGGGAGATAAAAAGTGGTGGTGGTAATTAAGTGTCCGACTGGGCCCTGGCGGGGGTTGCCACGGCCGCAGGCGATGCTAATGAACCCGTCCGCCGGTCAGTGCTACCTTATTAGCCGCCGGCCGACAATATGGTGGGAAGCACACGCTGCTACCGCCACCAGCCACACATCGTCACGAGTGACTAACGCAGAACCAGAGGTGGGAAGTAATCCTGTTAATTAGGGGGCTCTCAGGATGACCATTCTATGCCTTGAAGAAAATGGGCAATCAGTCAAGGCAAAACTAAGATTCTGCAAATACAATCATATATCGATATGTCACGATTTATTTTCTTGCAATATTGCATCATCCTCAAGGTTCTCATATCGATCCTTGTTCATTCATATTGTTTCCCGCAGTTCAATTAATGAAGAATCAGGAAGTCTAAATAAGCAAAAACTGGCAACCGGCATTTCTCAGTGCGGTCTGAGACACTTCTATAGTAATGGAAAAAAGTGAATGGAACCGCATGAGCGAGATTAACACTGACACCACAGATTACAACTCTCTCTCACTGAAATGCTGAGTCTCTCTCTCTCAGTCACAATTCAGTTATGATATAATGAAACGTCACAATGTATTAAATCGAGAGAAAAGTGTGCTGTAACATATACCCAACCCTAGCATCTTAACTGATCACTTAAGACATGAAATCCCATCCCATTAAACACACAAAAAACCTCTTTATATATCATGATACACTATAAATCAATTCTGGTAACAAAGCAGACCACCCCCATTCTTACAACAATAAAACGTAACAAACATCAATTAAACAAAAATAGTTGACTAAGGTTGGTAAAATAAAGTACTGTGAAATTCTTCTAACATCATACTGAATTCAAACACGGACATCAAATATAAATATTTTAATAATTACTCTTTTTTGGAGTTAAAAAAATAATAATTATATTCTTACCTAATGCATTGTCAAAACAAATTTCCATGGAATCAAAATGACCAATCAACATTCGCCATCAAAATAATTCCACATGCAAATCAGTTTTCTAAAATAAAAGTCTTAATAGCCAATAGGTATGTCAATATTGACCAAACTGGTAATAAGAAGTGATCTAAATTTGGTTAAGTTCACAATTA